GAAAAAACCCAACGGATTAAAACATATCTTAATTGGCTTAAACAACAAAGAAGTGAACGTTTAAAAGAACTATAATTAAAGTTTTTGTTTTGTAATACACAGTGGTTGTTGTTGTTGTTGTTATTATTATTATTTTTATTTTATTTAATATTGACTTTTAAACATCACAAATATTGATGTTAGACGAATTATTACAGAAAATAAAAGAGAATTCTTATTGGAATATCGATTTATTATCAGGGACTTAGCAATGATCATTGATATTTTTTTCCAATCTGCTGGATAACAGTTGAATACTTTGTAAAACAATATTTAAAAGAATTATTTATATATACTGTCAAATTTGAACCCTTTCCTTTCCTGCAGACTATATCAATCGAGAAAAAGTGTTAGCACAATCTCTTAGATATTAAAATGTAGTACACGATATAGTTATTGTTGCAAATTACAAAGATATTGTTTTATTCTATCTATTTTCGGACACATTTGTTCACCATTGTTCTTCAGAAATGCGATAAGGTGAGTAGTTCATATATTATAACGAATCATTATTAATATAAGGTCTGTGGGAGGGTTCAAATTTTTACTCTATACTTCAACAGTCCTTTTATATTTTATTTCACAAAAGATATCGATAGTAAAGTTTCGATAGCTAACTATGATGATGCGTTTTTATATAACTTCTGATATAAATAATATTCGAATGCATCGGTTTTTTCTAACGATAGTTTCAATTTATCCGATCAGACTTCTTTGCATACATATCTATATAAAAACTGATAGATAAGGTGACGACATAAAGTGTCAAGCTGTAAAAAAATTGTCGATTTTGTTTTTCAAACAAGTTTCATCTTGCCGACGTCAAATTTAGAAGGTTCACGCCTACTCAATCATTCAACAACGATTTCCTTTCTTTACTGACGTCTATTGATTATTGTCAAGACATTGTTTGTCAAAGTCAATGTTAAAAGTAAATTACTTGATACCAATAGATACAGAATTTTGTGACGTCAGACTTGCTCTATGAAAAGATTTATTATTATACTATCGGACGTAGAATTTAATTTTGAAGAAAATTGTGTAAAGAGTAAATTGAACAGTGAATATAGGATATTTAGGCTATTTCCAATAAAAGAAAAAAAAAACAAGAATGGTATAGGTCTACCGAAAAAGAGTTTTTTATCGATCTTTTCACATTTTTTACTTCAAAAACTGTTCCTCAGAAATATATCTTCTAAAATTCTGAAATATGATTGTTGCAGTTGAACAACTAAATAAATGTTCGTTTTTTTTTTTCTAAATTTTTTTCCTACAAGAGGAAACTGTTTAAGAAACGAAGTCGACAATCTTGAAATTCTATCTTTAGACATAAGAAGGAATATTTTATTATTGAGAAACGAGAGAAAAATACACGAAGATTTAATGACATTTCTCTTGGAACACGCGTTATACTTCAGTCTGATGATGTATGTATACGAGTAGTTCTTTAGAAAGCGAAAATGATTTTCACATAGAAGTTCATTTTACATTGACTATATTAGGCGCTATTTTTCTTCTTTTTCATTCTTTTAAAAAAAAAATCTAGATTGACCAGATTCTAAAATGGCTTTGACTTCTCAATTGAATTCTATTGATAAATTTGTAATGAATCGTCCAAATGAACAAATTACAAATATTTCATGGAATATTAAAAATGAACTAGAACAACTTCGAAAAGAACTAATTGAGACATTTTTTCAAACGGCCATAACATATACAGATATAATTATTAAACGAAAAGTATTTTTCTTTATCATCATGAATCTATTTAATAAGATGATTTTAGCTTGGAATATTAACATCGGATATATGTGATTATTATCGTTTTAAAAAGAAGTCTAATTTAATATCAACAAAAGAATTTCATTTAATACCTAAAATTCAATATGATAATGAAAAAAGTTTAATAGGTTATTTATTTTATTTATTTATAAAATAATTAAATTTATTTTTTTTAAAGATCTATTAAATGGCTTGCAACATATTTGTGAAACATGTCCACTTAATTTCGTATCAATAGACGATACAAAATTATCATCATCATCATGGTCTCATGTATATATGTGTGATATATGTCATTGTACGCGTGCATTAGAATATAATATGATACGACATTTAGAAAGTGAATTACATTTATCAGCTACAGAATATCAAACTGATAGTGCAACAATGATACTTAATCATTGTATTCGTCGAAGTTGTATACAAATGAATAGATATGATAAAAATATATTTGATTCAATTATTGTAAGAAAAATATTTAACTTATTCGTAAATCAATTAATCAAATATTTTCAATTATTTTTTATTTGTTTGACTATAAATAAGTTTGATAAGAATAAAAATTCTTTAATTTTATGAAACTAATTTTGAATCGAACAGGTTTGGATTTGATTAGATTACGTACTAAAATGACATTGATAGAATTCAATTTTTAACTCTTTACTTACAGAATTTTTTCAAAGATAATAAAAATATCGGTTTTCTCATAGAAACCCAAAAAAATCGGTTTTCATTCAACTTTAATCGACACCAAGAAATTCTATACTTGTAGAATTCTTCACGTAGCTTCATAAATAATTCTTCGGTTCTTTTTGAAGAAATAATGGTCCTACGACTCTACGCATTTTAATTTAGTTTCACAAGGATTTGAACGGCATTTGATATAGAGAGTCAATATTGTGATACTAAAACGGCATAAGAAAGAGAGATAAGATCGTAAAAGTTATAATCTGCATTAAAGTTGAGTTCGATTAGATACAAGCTCCATAATCAAAATATTAAGATTATAAACAACAATTATTTATGTCTAATTTATTTTTCACATGATCTTTTCTTTTTATGTAGATATGTCCTATTTGTTTTGAACCATTTTCAAATGTTAATTCATGTGCGATTCATTCACATCTTTCACATAATATGGATTATATCTATTCAATAGCTTCTATTTTTCAAACTTTTGATCTGATTATTAAACAAGATGATACTTGTATGGAATGTATTGAACAATTTAAAACATTACCTTTACTTATTAAACATCTTGATGAAAGTAATCATGGACCACATGAAACAGATAGATTAATATCTCTATTTTTATGTCCAATTAATAAATGTTATTATCGAACAAAACATTTTTTTAATTTTAAAACTCATTTAATATCAATACATAGTAATTTATTTAACGTAATTGATGAAACAATTACAGTTAAAATAAAACAATTTATTAAACCACATACATATATGCATATAACACGTTTTTTACATAAAAATCAATCAGATGTAAATGAAGAATTAAAAGCCCTTGAACAACTTGAATATGATATGAAATATTTACCTGATAATGCAGATATATTAAAAATAATTAAAAAAAGATATGATCTATTGAAAAATTTGTAATTATTTTTTAATCTAATAGAATAAATCCTATTGTTTTCAAAATAATTGCTTTTATTTTGACGAAATTGTTGTTTTTTATACTTCAAATATTACTATCGCTTCTACAATAATGAAAACATTTATGATGACATCGAAACTTAAGTTATAGAAGTATATTATTACGATCTGCGATGTGATTAAATGATGGAAAATTTTCATTAAAGAAAACAACTTTTAAATGTCTTATTATAGAATATATTTCAGGACCCATCCCTTTCCGAAGTTTATGAAGAACAGCTCATCAAATATATTTGAAACTTTCGGAGTAAATAGATTCCTATGGATAAAGCAACAGTTGTCATAGACTTCACATATTTCCTTCTAAGAAATACCTAGGTCACAAAGACTAATGATTGTAGACACTACTTGGAGTGCCTAATTTTTAAAAATATCCTTTCATTCGAATAAAAATACTCAACGTACCTCCAAAAATCAACAATACAATATTTTTCAAAAAAAAAGGCATTGCAAACAGTGGCCAATACTTGTAAAAAAAAAAGTTTCAGTTTGATTGAAATTACCATATCACAGAAACGAGGACAATTCTGCAATTTTTTAATGTAAAAACTGATTTCGAGAAAATTCTCTAATTAAACCAATAGAAAACCGATGGTGCTAAAAGCCCATGATCCATGCTCTCAACACCTTTAGAAATTTTCATTAGAAGAATTTGGCATACAGAGAATAATCACAAAGCGAGTTTTTCCAGAGCCGGGCTTAATAAAAGTATTAACTAACAATGAAGAACTTCCATTTATATGGCATTTTGACAGAGAATACTTTGAAGTTATACCAAAAATCGAAAAAATTTCGATTTTAACATCCAGAAAGAGGATAGAAAACATCTTCGTAATTTGTTAGTCAACTATGATTTGGCAGTGTAGATAACATGATCGAAATCAATGAATTCCGACTAAATACAGACAGATTTCTCATGTCAGATCTTGTCGAATAATATTGTTACTAATGTTTTACAAGTCAATGCTAAAATAGTCTCTAGAATTCTTTCTTAAACTATCAAAAAAAGAAAAACGAATCAATATGCAATATATTTTTATTATAAATGTTTTATATAAAAATTAATGTATAGTCATCTAAATACTACTAGTAGTAATGTAGCTTTAATACAATGTTATCTATTGTTTGTCCTTCTTTTATTTCGATATAGTAAAAATAAATATTGAAGCGTAACGATTCTCTTTTTTCTTTATCTTGTTATGAAGATAGAAAAATACATGAATAATTCAATATCACATGAGTATACAACCTAATATATTTATATATCCTTGAAAATCGACCGCATTTTTTTTTATTAGTAATGTAAGAATAATAACAAGTCATTTAAAAATTCATCAATTTATTGTAATTTGATTAATATAACAAAATAGGATATTGACACAAATGTAATCTGTTCTAAGTAATTATGACCAAGATGGTCCTGTTCATATGTAGAAAATTCATGAAAATGGCATTTTGTCATTTTCGAAGTCTGAGAATATGTTTTCTTTTCTTTTTTTTTTTAATAGATGAATGAACAATTTGACTTTCGAGCTTTATTAATTAAACTTCAAGATTGTTTATCAGAAGATGATCGACGTCGTCTTCATTTTCTTGTTGGTGATGCGATACCACGACAAATACGAGATGATCCTTCTCTTACTGGTACATTAAATCTTCTCGAATCACTTTTCGATCAACAACGAATTAATGAACAAGATTTTGATTATCTAATTCATGCTTTTAGCGAACTTCGATGTTATGATGCAGTTAAACGTCTCAAAGGTTTGTCAATTCGAAAAACACGACATACTATATTTTAATATATATTCCTTTTTTAAGAACATCAACAACATCATCAAAAGCAGTCAGGTGAAAATGAAAGTATTCTAAAAGAATCAGTCAAAGATGATGTTCAAGATAAAATGTCTGTTATTAGTATGTTTTATGTAGAATTGAAATAACAATTTGTTTTGTCCTTTTCTTTTCAAAGATTTTTCTCGTGTTATATCGTCAGACATATCAAATACACATGAATCAATATCAATTCAAAATAAACCGATAATAATTAATCAACAAAATAGTCAAAATAGTTCATATATACCAAATATACCAATTAAATCTAAAAAAAATCCATTCAATGTATATTTAAAAAATATAAAACAATTGATGAAATCACGTTTAACAATTTTTCAATTCGTTTTTTTCATTTTAAATATTATAGGTATAATAACTGTTGTAGTAATACTCATATATAATAAAAAAGCAAGTAATACTTCAAAAGGTATTTTTAATTTGAATTGAAAATTGTTAAAAAGAAAAATGATAATTTCTATTTTTCCTCTAGACGTGATGTTGATTAAAGTAGGCTTTCTGCATGGTAATGGATTTGGTGGTGATTCTTTTAATGATGCTGAAGATTGTTCATTAACTTTTAATGACAGATTAATTGGTATTACAGCTGGTTGGTCAACAGATAAAATTGGATACATAACATTTACTTATTCAAATGGTAAATCAAAACAACATGGTCGTACACTTTATCCATATGTACCACATACAGATGAATTTGAATTAAATTCTAATGAATTTATAGATGGTGTAACAGTTTATACAGGTATACGAGGGATTTTTAATCCTTTTCAACCGAATGGATCTTTTCTTGTTGTTGGCTTACGTTTTCATACGAATCAAGGACGCCAAAGTGAATTGTTTGGTTCTTCTAATGGAACTGAAATTGATGAATATTTACCGAATTATACATTGAGCTACGCACGAGGTCAAGCATTTGCATATATTGATGCACTTCAATTTATATGGTATAAAGAAATATCAAGAACAAGTAGTGCAATTCTACCAACATATTAATCATTATGTATATTTCGTAAAATTTTTGTATCTATTTGTTAATTAAAGAAAATCAAATGAAAGAAAAAAGTTTTCACAATGTCTGATCTTATTTCATTTCTTTACCCGTTCGTTGGTCACCGAAATGATCATTTATAGAATAATTACACAAAATAAAGTGAAAAAGACAAGTTTTTATAAACGAAATGTTCTCTATTTACACTTAATAGAGATTTTTTAGAATTTCTGTGTCATATGAATTAACGAAAAAGCTCATTAGTGTGAGTTGGACATGATTCGAAATAATTCGTCGAATTACACATACTCAATCATATTATTGACCATGAAATCTTTATTGGACAGATGAGGGATAATCAAGAACAAAATTACTATAGAGTATTTTAAATCTTAAACTCATAAGATTTTGAAATAGATTTTTTTTTATGAATGAAATATCTTCAGAGGTTATGAAATGGTTCAAAACAAAGTAGATTTTTATTTAACAAGATGTGTTAAAAACAAATTTATTTTTATTGGTTCACACCTTACTTTTTTTTTCTTATTTTTGCAATAACCTCGGATTGATATTATTTTTGTTCATTCAATTTATGTAGTTAAAGGGAAAAAAATCGAGGCTTCATATGTCATTAAGTCCACTTTCTCTACCACACAGTTATTAGACGAATCAAACGACTTCACATAAAGATATGAACACTTCGTGGTTGATGAGAACACATCATTAGCACATGAGACAGGCTTATACTCTATTTATAAAGTTATTTCTTGGAACCGTTGTGAGAGCTAAATGATTAAGTTACGTTCTATCTACTCAAAAAACATAGAGAATGTTTACTCGATATCACTGTTCTGGTTTGATGCCTTTCAATTTCTAAATTCATCAATAATAATTCGCATACATATAAAATAGAAATACATTGAATTGCTTAAAATCTTGTAAGTATTCTCACGTCGCCAAATAATTTCAATAGACGAAAAAACAAACGTTACAAACAGTATAAGAAATACGGTAAACAGCAAATGAAGGCCATAAAAACAAGACAGGGTATATGAAAGTATAAACACCAGCTATTATTTCTAATAGTAAACTGATTCTATTAATAGCATATTATCTCCTTGAGAGCAAGGTGAGACATATTCATTATTAATCAGGTAACCGTAAATCAAAACAAAACAACGACAAATCGGATTATTTGAATGCTTATGATGAATGCTTTTTTTTCTTTAGAATGTCATTTGACTAAATCGATATTGTATTACTATACGGATTCAGCGCACTACTAAAATAAAGATTTATGAAACATTATAAAATTTTACATGAAAATTGATGAAAAAAGTGCAAAACGTATTTTAAAATATTATGCCAAATATTTGATCAAATTACAGCATTGCTAAAATTAGTTCATATTTTTCTACAAACATCTGTGAGAAACCAATCAAAATCTTTGTCATCACTTTTTTATCTTTGACTAATAGCAAAGAACTAGGATAAAATAAAACTTCGCAATAGCATAGGATTTCTCAGAAGTTCCTTCCTAAAAGTGTATTAGTATATTTATTATTTGATTTAACTTTACCAAGTATTTTTTTACATAATAATAGGCCGATATGCCGAGTTTTTATTTATACAAACAAAGTTCATAAGTACTGCTTCTGAGATATCGCTTCTAACTGAAATAGAAAAACACATTACGCAATGATTATATTAAATTATTTTATTTTGTTGGATATTATTCATACGTACATCCTCTGCATTGGACAATAAACATAGGTGCCATATTTAGACTCAAAATAATTGATGTACTGCTTCAAAGTTGTAATGCACTTAGCAAAACTTACTATGAAATATGTAGTATCAAACAAACTGAATATTGAGTTAAGTATTGGATGATCCATTGATTAATTATCCTGGTACAATGATTGGTCAATAAAATAATGTTGACATGCTGCTCCTAAGCATCTTTTACCTTATTTTATAGAATAAAAAAGAGTTTCTAAAAAAATGACTTTCCCGCAATATATGGCAGATCTTATGAGCTTTAAGGTCACTAGATTTAACACCATTGGATTTCTTTTGATGAAAATATATCAAAGCAAATGTCTGTCAAACGACTATTCAAGATGCGAATAATTTAAAGATTAGAATAATTCAAGAAATTGAAGTAAACAAAAACGAACCGTTTTATAATTTTTTTCTACAAATAAAAAGAAACTAAATAGAAGATAACTTCGAAATTTGCTTGTATAATTAAAAACTCAGCCGCCATGGTTGAGTGGTTACGTTGTTCGACACGTATTCACAAGGTACTATGTTAAAACCTCAGTAGCATCATCCATGGGATAACCCAGGACAAGTCACTAACGGCTAAGTTGTCTCGAATAACTCATTTGCAGCGTGCTCAATACATCCTTAGTCAGTATGTTAGACGGAAGGGATGCAGATACCGCCGTCTGTAAAAAGAAAAGGACGAAAGAAACCGGCTGCATGTGGACTCTAATAATAATCGCGCTGGCCCCAACGGGCGATAAGCCTATGGGAGATTATTATATTATTATTAATTAAAAACTCATTCTATGAACCTATTATTAAAAAAATTAGTTGATAAAGTTGAATAAAATAATAAAGATATATGGAAAATTTTTTTAGACATACTTTACTTTGCAATTGACGGTACGTGCAATAGAATATATAATATACATTTATTTTCATGGTAAGAGATTAAAACAACACTTGAAATAAAATATTAGATAGAATAAAGTACCATAACAGCAGTCTTCCATTTGCATCGTTCCTATTATATTCAATTATCTAAAAATTGATGTAACTTTAGTCGTATTGTTTTCTTTCTTGAAAATACGATTTATAAATATGTTTATATTTGAATTTTTCCTCTATTCAATTTTATACGACCTCAAGATTAGAAGTGTAGGTCGATGCATTGATCAATTATGACAGCTGAACATTTTTCGATAAATTTTCAAACAATGGTAAAAAGTTTACTGACAAGAAATCAGACGGTAATATTTCCAAAGCATAATTTGGATCGTCGGATATTCTTAAAAATCAAATATCTCTATTTGTGTTGCGGCAGCGACTCATCCGATCGACTTATGCCTCTACTCGAGATTACATTTGAAGAATAGTTCTGTATTTTTATTCGTATTCATATATGACACCCTTTGGCTAAGATTTTTTATGTCAATAACGTTTTATTCCATCCATTCTCTAATAATTCAGAACACTTTTTCTGAAAAGTATGGTATGACTATCGTTTGACTTTTCATGCTACTAGCTAGTGCATGGTTATTGGGATGGATGGGAGTATGAGGATCAGACGTGTAGAATCTGGCTGTGTGCGGGAACGCGCATTTGGGGAAATCTTTGAAAAACTTTTGAATCTATGAACGTTTTGAAAAATGTCTTTGTTCCATGTGAAAAAAAATCACACAGTGTTATGCTCTGCGATGAGCTCCCCGCCTTTTTACTGTTAAATTTTTCTCTCTTCCTCACTCAGCTTCATGTGTTCTGTTGCTCCGCTTGAACTCATTACACCATGATTCGTTAGATAGGGAAGTAATGCTTCACTGAAATGCTCCCCCGTTACATATCGCTGAGTCCTTTATCAAACAGTCACTAAATGATTACTTTAGCAACAAGAAGGAGAAAAATTGGTTATTCTATAAAAAGAATGAACAATACAAAACATGGAAACTTATATCACCTGGCTATGTTGTGCTAAACCGTTTACGACAAAAAAAAGTACCAAGATTAGCAGAGTCAATCGAAGATCAATAAAACGGGTTATTTTTTAATATCGAGCTATTTATTTGACAATTTGCTTTTGCAAATGCATCATCAATCGAACTTTGTTAACGTTTGTTGCTTTTAGCACGAGACTCTTCAGTTTTACTGATTATTCTTTTTTATCAAATCAAATTCTTTTCGTTGTTTCTTCACTGTCCTATTGAGCACATGACATTTTAGCTTCTTCCCTATCAATTGGAATATATGTAGACTCATTTTCAGCATTGATCGACTTAATACGATCATCATTGAATGGATAGATTTTGACATTTAATTAAATTCTTCCATTCAGTTTCCGTTTCTTCAACAGTAGCAAAGTTTTTTAACATTCATGCTTAATGGTATTTTGCTAGTTCGATTCGTAGACTTATTCGGTTTGTTGATTTTATTTGTAAAAAATACCAACTGACATGAAAATGAAATAGTCACATTTTTAACACGACATTTTCCCAGTATTATTAATGTATTCAACGACAACAGTAATTGTGGATGAATTTTATTATTTCTGTACTATCATTTTCTTCTGAAAGCAATAGATATATCAAGATTTGCAGTATTTCTTATTCTTTCGATCCAAATAAATGAGATTTTGTCATAGAGATCAAATCATTTTGTTGATTTCCTGAAATTTCATTCGATCGAGTATCATTAGAGAAAAAAATCAATTGAAGTAAATTTTTAAAGGACTACTGATACGAAAATAATATTTCTGTTTCATTAAATTGAAGATATAATTTGTTGACGAATTTTTATTTGTTTTTTTGTTCCAAAAAGCTTCATATTGGTATCGTTATTTTTCACGATGTCTATCACTAGAATAGCAGATGAAAGTTTTCAATCACTTCTTTATAAAGCTGTTGTACTTTATACGTAGTGATAGGTAGTATCAGAAACTTGTTTTATTCGGAAGGCTATCTGGATGAAATTATTTCATGATTTCGTTATTAGAAAATGATTAAAAGAAGTCAGGGTAGTTACTATATTTTCCAAGAGTCATTAGACCTATCTATTGATGAAATTTCAGAGTCGAAATTCCGTTAGTTTAGTTTCCAGTAAATTCTTTTGCAATGAATAGAAAATTTAGTACAACAATTGTAACTCAGCTTCAAAGACCCATGAACGCGAACTAATATTAGGATTTGTTTAGTCTTCCTGAAACCTGCTCGTGGAGAAAATGTGAGCTCAAACGGCGAGTGAC